TGGTGATAGTGATGGTAATGGTGGTAGTGGTGATGATGGTGGTGGTGATGGTGATGGTTGTGGTGGTGATGGTGGTGGTGATGGTGATAGTGGTGGCGATGGTGATATAACCACGTAACCACGGAAGAAGGGCAGGCAGTTGGCCAAAATGACCTCCTCCATGGCAATGACCCGCTGCCTGGACCTGTTTACAGCCCGTGAGGAGATCCTCCGACATGCCCACACCCCTCTGCACCAGGTCCCCAAAGATCAGGAGCGTGGGGTTGAAGTGCAGCCAAAACCAAAGGAGAACGTCTTTGATGTAACTAAAAAGGGAGTGCAAATGCCCACACCCAATATGCACATGGTCCTCGGACTCCACAGCACCGCAAAACAAACAATTGGGCTGTGAGTCCGTGAACCACCACAATCTGCAGAAAAATCAGATTTATTTTTCCTCAGCAGTTAATGTCAGCTGGACTTTTAATTAATAAGGTAGAGATCATTATAAGTGTGAATGAGTCACTCTGTGCCTCCTGTAAATAAGTGAAAGCATCCAGAGAAGGAAGACTGAGAGGCATCATTCTCACCAGTACAAGAATTATCTTGACAGATCCTGTGAACAGGACCCACTGAACTGCCTCCCCAGCTCTTCCCTCCACCCAAAACACACATGCTTATTTTTCCCGTGTGTGTGTTTGTGTGGGTGGGTGTGTTTGTTTGTGTGGGTGGGGAGGGTCTGTGTGTGTTTGAGGGGGAGTTTATAAGGGGATTAGAGTTTTAACATGTAGAGTTATGCGTTGATAGTTCATTATTGTTTATCTATAGCTGGAGTCTTTATTTGCAGTAAATAAATTGTAATAAATAAATAACTCCTGTTAAATACAGAAACAATGCTCATGCTCTCAACCTGGGTCTAAATTGAGGAAACCTGTTTACTTTTTAAGCTTGGTGATGATTCTGTGCACGGTAGGCTTGATTTCCAGTGTGGGACCACAGTGAGGGCAGCACTACTGGAATGTAGGGAATGTGGTGGTCAACAGATGCACAGATAGCTCCCACAAACAGCAATATAACCATGATGAGACAACCATTAGTAGAGAGAGTTCCTGGCCAGGAGGTCAAGAACTGCCCTGCTTTCCTACAGAATAGTGACACGGGATCTTTCACATCACGGGAGTAGATGGGACCTTAGTTTAGTGTCTCATTCAAAAAATGACACCTACACCTTAAACAGTACAGCACTCCCTCAGCACAGCACCATAGTGACAGCTTAAACTTTGAACTCAGGTCTCTGGACTGGGACTTGAATCCACGGCCTTCATGACACTGAGGAGCTCATGATATTTCTAACCAACCTTTACAAGCACGTTATGGCACACCCTCTGGAACAGGTGGGATTTAAACCCAGGGATCCTGGGCTAGAGGTAGGAAAACTACCTCTGCATCACAAGACCCTGACAGAGGAGCTATATACTGAGCCACGACCCAATGCCAATGTGCAGCAGTATGGAGTTCAGAGATGTGTGATAGTTATGGAGATCACAGAAAGTGGGAGAGCTAATGGAGCTCAGAGGCAGGAAGGACCTTGCAAACAAGGATGAAAATTTTGAAATCAAGAGGTTGTTAAATTGGGAGCCAAAGTAGATTAGAGGGCACAGGGGCAATGGGGAAATGTGTGTGTTAGGAGACAGCTAGTTGAGCTTCAAATGTAATTAAACATTGGGCAATATGGAAGCATGCTTAAATATGGGATGTTCACATCTTTCATAGAGAGAATGGAGAGATTATTACAGTACAGTGATTACATCACTGAGCTAATAATTGAAAATGTTTGAGTTGAAAAGTGACCTTGAGGCTGTCAAATTGCAGCAAAAACCCATCTGGCTCATTAATGTCCTTCAGGGAAGGAAATCTGCCAACTTTACCTGGTCTGGCTTCATGTCACTGCAGACCCACAGCAATGTGGTTAACTCTTAATTGCCCTCTGAAATGGCTGATTGACCCCTTCAAAAGTATCAAAGGAAAGGTCCAATCAACCATCACCTCCTTGGGGCAAATACAGACAGCCAATGATGGCCACAGCCTGAAATCCTAAAACAAAAGGCTGATGGAATGAACGTTTACTTACTCATCCTGCCTTCTGTGAAATGTCCAACTTCCGGTTTACTTTCCAGAATAACATAACTCCTCGGAATCTCAAAGCCATCCATTTCTGAAATACTTTGAGACTTTCTGAGCGGGGGGCTTGCTAGCTTTTGGCACAGACCATCCACATTTCCTACAGAAATAGATTCAATTGAACGTTTTAGTTTGATTGAGGGTGCAATTTGGGACAGTCAGGGACCTACATCACTCTTCCTAGATGCAGGGAAACTCTATCCAATGTTTATTCTGGATTGCCACTTGATGGCCTGATTAATGGCTGACTCTTGTATCTTAGCTCAGTTGGCAGAATGCATCTCTTTAGGCGAGTAAGTTCCGATTCAAACTCCAAGATTTGAGCACACAATCTAGACTCAGACTTCAAGGAGAGCTGCAAGGTTGGAGCTGAGACTCAGGCCAAGGACCCAGCTGTCCGTGTAAAAGGATAGAAAAACACCCTGATGCTTCAAAGAGAAACTCTGGGCAACATTTCTTTTGCTTTACAGAAGAAAGCTATTGGCCTATTAGGCCTATTGTGTTCATAATGACTCTGCAAGAATAACACAAACCCATACTACTTGTTCCTCATCATCCTTGCAAATGTTTTCACTTTCGATAATTCTCCAACTCTCTTTTGACACTTCGTTGGGTCTTGATGCCAGCAGACCTGGCATCATCACATTTCAGATCCCAACTTCCTGTTGTGGAGAAGGTTCTCCTTATGTCCCCAACCCAATCACTTATCCTCTGCTCCCCAATCCCCTGCCAATTGGAGGTTTCTCTCTATTTGCTCTGTCCAAACCCCTCCTGATTTTGAACACCTTGATCAAATCCCCTCTCAACCTTTCCTTCTCCAATCTATCCACAATGCTTCATCCCTGGATCCAGTCTTTTCCTGCACCTCTCTGTTGTTTTAATCTTCATTGAAGTTGTGTCGGTGTCGCTGCCTTTCTCTAACTGTCCCTTGAACTCAGTGGCTCATCAGAAAGTTTCAGAAATGGTTGAGACTTAATCGCATCACTGTGGGTCTGGAGTCACACGTAGGTCAGGTTGGGTAAGGACAACAGATTCCCTTCCCTAAAGGACATTAGTGACGCAGATGGAGTTTTATGACAATTGATAATGGTTGCCATTAAGCTAGCTTCTTATTCCATATTTCCAATGTTTCCAGGTGGCACAGTGGCTCAGTGGTTAGTACTGCTGCCTCACAGTGCCAGGGACCTGGGTTTGATTCCACCACTGAGCAACTGTCTGTATGGAGTTTGCACATTCTCCCTGTGTCTGCATGGGTTTCCACCGGGTGCTCCGATTTCCTCCCATAGTCCAAAGATGTGCAGGGTAGGTGAATTGGCCATGAGAAATATAGGTTTACAGGGATGGGGTGGGTGTGGGTGAGATGCACTTCAGAGGGTTGTTATGGATTGGATGCCTGCTTCCACATTGTAGGGATTCTATTGAGTTTAAATTTCACTATCGGCCATTGTGGGATTTGAAATCCTGACACCACAACTTTATACTAGACACTCGGGATTGTGGAATTACTGAATCTCAGAACTGTTTCAGCACATGCGGATGACTTTCAGCCCATTGTGCCTGTGCTGGCCCAAATGAGTGTCATTTACAATTTACTATTGCGCAGGGGCATAATTTTAAGGTGATTGGAGGAAGGTATAAGGGAGATGTCAGAGGTAGGTTCTTCACACAGAGAGTGGTGGGCGTGTGGACTGCGCTGCCGGCAGTGGTAGTGGAGTCAGATACTTCAGAGACTTTTAAGCGACTCTTAGATAGGCACGTGGAGGATAGTAAAATGTAGGGTAGATTGATTTTAGTAGGATAATAGGTTGGCGCAACATCGTGGGCTGAAGGACCTGTACTGTGCTGTACAGTTCTAAGTTCTATTACCTTTTCCCCGTCTCCTTGCACATTATTTCTATCCAAGTGACCATCCAATGCCCCGCTTCAATGCCTCAATAGAACCTAACTCCATCACATTTCCAGGCAGAGCATTCCACACCCTAACTGCTCACTTAGCGAGAAAGGTTTGCCTCATTTGCACTTCAGTTTAAATCTCTGCTCCTCACATTCTTGTACCTTTCACGAGTGGATAGCTTCTCCCTGTCTACACTGTCCAGTCCATTCATGATTTGGAAGACCTGCATCAAATCTCCTCTCAGCTGCCTTCTCTCCAAGGAGAACAGTCTCTGAACTTCTGCAGTCTATCCTCATCACTGATAGTTCTCATTCCTACAACCATTCTTATAAATCCCTGCAGTGCATTCCCATCTTTCCAATAATGTGACGTCCAGAACTATACACAGTACTCGAACTGAGATCTAACGAGTGGCTGATACTGACTCAGTGACATTGCTACGAGGCCAACCCCTCTCTCTAATGCATTCACATCCTTCCAGCGTGAGGAGAGTGTGCTGGAACTGACTCTCAAAACAAATATTGGCCAATGGGGATCAGCAGCAAGATTCAGGCTGGGGTTGGTAGGGGTTTAGGTTAAGTGGGACAGAAATAAAATTGGGACCTGAAATAGTAGGATGGTAATAGGATACACTGAGTGTGTAAAGTGTATTTCTGGGCAACTGAGAAAGGTCGAGGCTCAATCCTTAACCCGTGTTTACAAACGCACACAGAGAAAGGGGGCATTAAGCCCATTGTGTCTGCACTTTGAAGGAATTAACCAATTAAAATACATTCTTGCATTTAAATAATGCCTTACCTCAAGGCATTGCAAAACTCTTCACAGCCAGTAAAGCATTTTCAAAGTGTAGTTGATGTTGTAATGTAGGAAATTCAGCAACCAATCTGCACATAGGAAGATCCCACAAACAGCAGTACAATAATCATAGAATCCCAAGAGTGTGGAAGCAGGCCATTTGGCCCATCGAGTCCACACCAACCTTCTCAAGAGCATCCCATCCCCTCTACCCTGTCCCCATAACCCCACATTTTCCATGGCCAATCTACCTAACCTGAGACAATCAGGTGTAGAGCTGGATGAACACAGCAGACCAAGCAGCATCAGAGGAGCGGTAAGGCTGACGTTTTGGGCCTAGACTCTTCTTCAGAACCTAACCTGCACATCTTTGGACTTAATCATCTGTTTTATGAAGTTAACTATGGGAATTAAGTTTAGACATGTTACTGGAGAGAAATCCCCTATAGTTCTTCAAAATAATGACGGGAATGTTTCCATCCATCTTTGAGGGCAGATTAATCCTTGTGAAAACTGAATATTTTTTGGAACATGTGGCGTTCTCAGCTACCAAAAATAATCCCTCTTTCCTCTGTTTTATTAACCCAACAGCTCAATGGCTTCACCAAAGCAGGTAAGCAAGATCAGGACTTACTGTGGTAATACTTGACTAGCTCTGGTAGGCTGATAAACTTGACCCGTGGATTGATGTAATAGCCACTGGGGCTGGATGATACTTTGTAGGACATGACTCTAAAATCCAGCTCGGGATCCCAGTGCTTCACCAGTAAAGCATAGCAACCTAATGCAATAAAGGAGAAAAGCTTCAGGAGTTGGGAGAAACTAAATCTCATTCCATCTGCTCCTGTCCTCAGAGACTTCTTCACTACCAGCTCTATCCCATGAACATGCCATGCCATAGTCTGGTAAATACTATGCTATACTTCATCATGTCCTCTTACTCTTGGTTAGAACCCAGAGGCATACTTAATGATCACCTTCTCTATTTGACAAAATGCACTTCTTGGCACTGTCCAATATTGTTGACCAAGCCAAGTACAGATTACCCTTGAGAAGGTGGTGGTGACCTGCCTTCACAAATACAACTGAGTGGTTTGCTTGCCCTCTTCAGTTAGAGCTAGCTGCATCAGTTGTGGGTCTCAAGTCCGTTTGGTCAGACTTGGTAAGGATAGCAGGTTTGCATTTTAGATGTTATGAACTTGGCACATGTTAGGATACCAGCCGTAAAGTTTAGGAGGAGATGAAAATGGTGAAAATGTGCAAGTAGTTTTCAGAATGGAGTATTCCTGCACATGCACAAAACTGCAGAAGGGATGCAGGGGTCCCAGATACATCCTCACTCTGTGACCGTGAATAAATGTCACCTGTTATTCTCAACAGACAAGGTGATATGGGGAAATTAACCTGTCCCTAAGCCTCAAACAACTTCCAGGACAAGCTCACACAGTCACTCTCTTGGAAACTGGATGGAAGTTACCTTTCCTCGATTGGCTCTGTCTGATCAGGAAAGATCCCTCTTTGTTTTCTGGTTCGAGAATTATTCTCTCTGCCTCTTTGCCACTCAATTCTTTGAAGAACCATCTGTGAGGAATAATCACAAACCGTGCTCTCAGTTTCTGATGGGATGACAGCAAATCAGAAATGTCAATGTTAAGCTAGAAATCACACGCATCCTCCACCACCATCCTGCTCTCAATCTGACTCAAAGCTAAATCATCATCATTGAAGCATGGTGCCAGTTGTAATGTAGGTACTTGGTGGGGGGGGTGGGGTGTCATGTGGCCTAGTGGTAATGTCACTGAACTAGCAATCTAAAGGCACAGCCTAACATCTGGGGGCTATGGTGAAATTTAAATGCAATGAGTACATCAGGAATATTAGTCTCAGTGATGGTGGCCAATGCAACAAACATTAAGAAACCTATTTCGTAGACTAATGGCCTTCAGGGAAGGAAATGTATCATCCTTCCTTTCCCCAGTCTGGAAGGCCTACCCATTACTCCAGACCCATGGTGTTGTGATTTACTCTGAAATGACTGAGTAACCCCTTGAATTCAGGGGCCATTGGGGATGGGCCGCAAATGCTGGCAATCCTGGAGTGAAGTAACAAAAGAATAAATTTGTAAATGATTGCCAATCTGGGTACAAAAAGATCCTGTAAACAGAATGACCACTTAACCTGCTTCCTCTTGATGTTCGTGGAAAACTATATGCAGATTTTGCCTGCTCTTTAAAATTGTCCAATGAATGAGTTCCTTCATGTCCACCTCAGAGAGCAGACAGGGGTGAGAGGACTGACCTCCATCTCCCTGTGTGCCAAGTATGACTGACCACCAGAGAGTTTACCCCTTGATACCCACTGTTTCGCTAGGACTCCTTGATGTCAAACTCAGTCGAGTGCAACCTCAATGTCAAGGACAGTCACTCTCACCTCAGTCTCTGGAATTCAGCTCTTTTATCCATGTTTGAACCAAGGCTGTAATGAGGACCGGAGCTGAGTGGCCCTGGAGGAACTCAAACTGGGTGTCACTGAGCAGGTTATTGCTGAGCAGGTGCTGCTTGATAGTGCTGTTACTGACACCTTCATCACTTTACTGATGATCGAGAGGAGACTAATGGGGCAGTAATTGGCCGGGTTGGATTTGTCCTGCTTTTTGTGTACAGGACATACGTGGGCAATTTTTCACATTGTCTGGTAGATACCAGTGTTGTAACTGTACTGGAACAGCTTGGCTAGGGGAGCAGCAAGTTCTGGAGCACAAGTCTTCAGTACTATTGCTGGAATGTTGTCAGGGCCCACAGCCTTTGCAGTATCCAGTGTCTCCAACTGTTTCTTGATATCACGTGGAGTGAATCGAATTGGCTGGTATCTGTAATGCTGGGGACCACTGGAGGAGGCCGAGATGGATCATCCACTCGGCACTTCTGGCTGAAGATTGCTGCGAATGCTTCAGCCTTATCTTTTGCACTGATGTGCTGGGCTCTTCCATCATCGAGGATGGGGATATTTGTGGAGCCTCCTCCTCCAGTGAATGTTTAATTGTCCACCACCATTCACGGTGGAAATGGCAGGACTGCGGAGCTTAGATCTGATCTGTTAGTTGTGGTATCACATGGCTCTATATTTTTCTTGCTCATGCTGTTTGGCATGCACGTAGTCCTATTTGGTAGCTTCACCAGATTGTCACCTGATTTTTAGGTGTGCCTGGTGCTGGTCCTGTCCATGCCCTCCTGCACTCTCCATTGAAGCAAAGGATTGATCTAAAGGCTGGCACCTTTGGCAGTGCAATACCTGCTCAGTGTTGCACTGATATGTTAACCATGATTAAGTGCTCACAGCTCTGGAATGGGACATGAATCTGTAATCTTCTAAATTCTGAGCCAAGCTGATATTTATTAATCACCAAGCTGACAGTGATACCTCAACGAGCCAGGGTTAACTCCCTGGTGCCACGTCTACCAATCAGCAGCCTCGTAGCTCCTGCAGTAGAAATTGTTGTTCCCTTTGAGATTTGGTATTCTTGCAATTTTGTTGTGACGAATGTAAGATGAAAAGCTTCAGCTGTAAGCCTCCGTTCTCAGCAATGCTCAAGAAATTTATTTTCAATCTCAGCGTGAAATGATTGAACCTCCCACAGTCAACATTGTCACTGTGTAACCTGAGGTCTCCCAAATCCCTCTGTTCTATAACTTTCTGCTGTCTTTCTCCATTTAAATAATATGCAGCTCCTCAATTCTTCCTGCCAAAGTTCACAACTTCATATTTCCCCACATTACATTCCATCTGCCAAGTTTTTGTCCACTCACTAATCTGTCTATATCCCTCTGTGGACTCATTGTATCATCCTTACTACTTGCTTTCCCACCTGTTTTTGTGTTATTCACAAACTGGCCTATGGTACATTCACTTGCCCCATCCAAGTCATTCATCTATATTGTAAAGAATTATCACCTCAGCACTGATCCCTCCTGCCCTTTTTATTTCTCACTTCCACTGATAGGAATTCTATGTCTTCCAATTCAAGGCCAGTTCTTGCGATTGTACTTATTCCATCTTGTATCATCAATGTTCCCCCACGCCCCCTTCCTGCCTGTCCTTGCGAAAATTCACATACCCCGAATATTTGATTCCCAGCTTTGATTTCCTCATAACCGCTTGTAAAATTTTCATTCTTTTTAATGGCAATAAGATCATATCCATTTATCTGTATTTGTGCCATTAGTTCATTACTTTTCCTCTGAATCCTCAGTGCATTCAATAATTATTAATTTTGATTTTTTAACCATTATTTTCCCATTTCACACTATTTACTGTTTTTTTTTGTGTGTTTGTATCCTCTGCCTTTTCCTCTCCCGCTCATGTATCATTATCCAAACTGCCGGCCAGTAATCTGCCTTATCCTTTTGTTTTTTAAGCCTACATTTCCCAACTCCCAAACTCTCCCACTCACAGACCTCTCTCTTCACTCCAGACTGGGGCCTTCTGTCTTATTGACGTCAGAATCACATCATACAGGTCCTCACACACTGATCCGAAGAAAGGTCCTGACCCGAAACATCAGCTTTCCTGCTCCTCTGATGCTGCTTGGCCTGCTGTGCTCATCCAGCTCTACACCTTGTTATCTGTGTTTACTCTGATACATCCTCGCACACTGATCTTTGCTCTGATAGGTCCTCACACACCGATCTTTGCTCTGATACATCCTTTCACACTGATCTTTGCTCTGATAGGTCCTCGCATACTGATCTTTGCTCTGATAGGTCCTCGCACACTGATCTTTGCTCTGA